ATTTGTATGGATCTTGGTCTGTTGATACAAAATTAAGGTCAATTTTGTTATATGGATTTCTGCTTCTGTTTAAGGTATTGTGTTTGTGCAGCTCATTTAAAAATATAATGTATAATTAAGAAATACAGGTTAATAGATAGTCATCTATAATTGCCAAGCTTGTAGTCATGTTAGTTAGGTTTTGTAGATGTACAAAGATATATTTCAGATGAATAGTTATTCTTCAAACTGTAAGCTCCAAGTCCTGGTCTCTGGCCTCCATCTTTGGAGGCCCCATTCCTGTGCCCACCAAGTCTTGACCCCTCCTCAGACAGTCTGCCAAAATCTTGACCACTTTCCCAGTCTATTTAAACTGCTTCCCCAAAAAGTTCCCTTGTGCTCTCTTTCCTCTCCCCACAGTGGTGGCGTTCACAGCTTCCTGGTTTCCCCTCGGGACCACCTGAGAGCACAGGATCATCAAACCTGAATATTTTTAATTTGGCTTGTTATTTGGCTTGATTGGGATTTTTGCATCGACAGAGAGCTCGTTTTAGGAAAAGTCCTAACACAAAACTTTCAAAGACTAACAGAATATGGCATTTAAAATGTTTAAGAACTTTGAACTTTTCAGGACAGTGAGACACATCTACTCCTGACAGCACCAAGTTACTTCAAGAGGAAGATGGGCATCAAAGAAGCTGGTTAGCCATTTGGACAAGAAATGGTTCTTGCCTGAACTGCTTAATGGTATGCTGTATGAACTAGACATGCAGGACCCACAGAAAAATGACTGAAGTTGCCTAAAGAAAGTAAGGCAGTCCTTCAGGGTTCCTGCTTCATGAGAGAACTGCCAGACATCTTCCAGGACACAGAAGAAAGCAACTTATGAACTTTTCCAGTACAAGACATAGTGATCTTCATGGAAAAGTCTGCCAAATACTATGGGCCTGTAGGCTAAAGACAGATGCAGCAATGATACAGAAGAACTTTGGGTGATTGTCCAGGCAGCGATATGTATCTGTCAATTCTAGAGTTTTGGAAGTTGCTTACAATGCACTTCCTGTTAACTTAGGTAATAAATCCTTCTGGGGTCTTTGATGGAGTTGAAGAATAGATAGTTATAAATATAGTTTTCCTTAGTTATTATAAGATAAAATAAATATAAATATTTTAACTGTAATTATTGTTTAATACCTGTTTTGCTATATGTGATTTTACTACGTTAAAGTTAAAATTTTCCTTTCTATTTAGACAGAAAAGGGGAGGTAATATGGGACTCCCCTGTGTATGTTATGTTTTAATGCCACTGGTTAATAATTCAATATTTTGGGCCTGTGGCAGGGCAAAATAGAGCTAGGCAGGAAAAACTAAACTGAATGCTGGGAGAAAGAAGGCAGAGTCAAAGAGACACCATGTAGCTGCTGAAGGAGATATACACAGGAAACCTTCACAGTAAACCATGAGTCTCATGGTAAAATATAAAATAAGAATAGGTTAATTTAAGATATGTTAGTCAATAAGAATCCTAAGCTAATAGGCAAAGCAATGTTGCAATTAATATAGTTTCTGTGTTATTATTTGGGGTCTGGGTGGTCAGGAATGAATAAAGTCTCTGTCTACATGGTTCAGTCCTTACATGCCATTGTAGAAGAAATTCCTTCCCAGAGCAATTAAAGAACCTAATACCTACTGTAAGAAACCATACAGCTATGGATAATAAGACAGCTGTAGAAGAAAGAACAGAAAATTCAGAAAAAACAACAGAGCAAGTATCCTGGAAAACTTCTATAAACAAACAAAGATCAAAATTAAATTTATGAGCAAATGATATCATTGAAGGTCTGGTACACAGATGCAGTTGTGACAATAATTTCATCAGAATCTTGGCATCTAAATTGGCCTCTTCAGAATGTACATATTCAGCTTTTAGAGATTGGAACTTCATCTTAAATAAAACAAGAGTACAAGATGTGTCAAATGTATAGGGCTGGAAGGACAGAGAGGAACATTAAAGCCATATGTGGCTAATATAGGAATGAATTTGTGGGGACCTGACTTGTTACAGCAATGATATATTGAGAGCAATATTTGTTGGAAGCCTTACAAACAAATCATAAATTAATATGGGAATATTAGAAGGTTTTATAAAGAACAGCCCCGACCATCCAGGCTGCACAAAGAACAAGGTACAACAGCTGCTTATCTTTCAAAGGCACCAACAGCCCTACCTTTAAAATGGCTGACAGACAAACCTGTATGGCTTAAGCAATCGCCTTTAACAAGAGAAACTGCAGGCTTTAGAACAGCTGACACAGGAGCAAACAGATGCTCAGCATATTGAAGCAACCAGCCTCTGTATTTGTTGTTAAAAAGAAATCTGGAAAATGGAGAGTGGAAGATTTAAGAGCTGTTAAAATGGTGATTCAGTCAATGTGCTCTCTACAGTCTGGCATATCTTTTGCTGTCTCTATTACCACAAGGATGGCTTCTTATCGTTATTGGTTTAAAAGATTGTCTCTTCACTATACTTTTACAAGAAAAAGACAGAGAGAAATTTGCTTTCACAAAGCCTACTTATAATTCTCAGCCTGCTAAAACTTATCAATGGAAGATCTCTTACAAGGAATGTTAAATAGCCTCCCTAGCAATGACAAATATCTATAATCCACTAAACAACAGCAACAAAAAAAAATCCACCCTATGCCTCTTAAGAATGTGGAAATCATATTCATAAATTTACTTCCTGCTGTCTGGGGGAAATGACACCTTTAGGGAATCCTGAAAAGAAAAATTTCAATTAACTGTCAAGTCCTAGGAGTCCTCTATCATTTTTTTGTTCAGTCTATGCGTAATAGAAAAGTGAAGGGCTTGTCTCAAGTCTGTCAGTCTGGATTATCTCAGCTAGCCATCTGGAAATTATTTTGTAGTCCAAAGCCGATCCTCAGGTGGTATTATTCAGTTCAGTGGTGTTATCATAGTCCTGGAGGTGTCATAATTATGAGGTGCCATCCTCCTTATGGAGATTTCAAAGGTCCCTGTTAGGTGTGCTCATCAGTGCAGAAAACTGATACTCAAACTTGAAATTATGTACAATAAGGTAGATGGAACCTTTTTCTAGAATTAGTACTCTATATGACCATGAGAGACAGAGAGAGAGAGAGAGAGAGAGAGAGAGAGAGAGAGAGAGAATATATACCTTAAGAAAAGCTGCCAAAGGGTCAATATAAAACCAAAAGATTAAAAAAAAACACCAAAAGAGTATGAGATTAGTAATAAAAATAATCCTTGATTTTTTGTTTTTCTTCTGTCCCCTATTATGTCTCTTCTGACATGAGACAGAGATTCTGAATTTCGCTTTAATAAGCATGCTTAAGTTTAGAGGAGAGAGCCACACCCCGACTCCAAAATCAGCTTTAATCTTTAATTGTAGTAGGACTACAAAACGACCATTTGTGTTATATGTCTGTAGAGAACAGCAGGAACAAACATGAAAGTTATGAAGAAGGCCCACCCTTTGTTTCTTGAACTTTTGACCAGCTACACATACAGAAATAAATCATATTTTGTGTTTGAGTGTACACTATGAGTTTGTAGTTATCTTCAGAGTCCACAGAGAGTCTTCATTTCCTAGAAGGCACAGGTCATTGTAAGTCATCAAATATGGGTGCTGAAAAGTGAATTAGAAGCCTCTGGAAAGTTAAGTACTCTTAGATGCACAGTTATTTCTCCAGTCTTGTTTCTTGAAACATCCTCAAGAGCCTGTGGCTGGGAAGGTCACCAGTGCTAAGCAGTTATATACTATTGTCTTGATAAATGGTCATGTGAAAATGCCTTAAAAATTCTCATGTTCATACTCATAAATTAAGGAGTGTATCTATTAAGAAGTACTGAAGTAACAGAGTGAAGATAAAAGAAGGGGACTGGGAAGATAAAATACAAAAATTTATTATAGAAATACATGAAACCATCAAAAAAAAAGTAAGATGATCAGTTAAAACGGCTTTTAAAAATATAATCATTCAAGTACAGAGAAACATTAATAAAACACATAGAATCTATGTTACTATAGAGGCCGGAGAGTGAGCACAAAGATTAAGGGCACTTGCTGTATTGAAGGAAGACTAGAGTTTGGCTCCTAGCACTTTGTGGTGCTAAAACTGAAGCTGAGTCAAGTTCCAGGAGGTTCTACGCCCTCTTCAGACCCCACTTAAATGCATGTACATAAACTCACACATAAACACAGTCACACACACACAAATAATATAATAAATTAAAAAATAATAATCTATAAAAATGTCACTCAGGGCTGGGCAGTGATGGCACACACATTTAATTCCAGCACTTGGGATTAAAGTCATGTTTTTCTCTGTGAATTCAACCTGGTCTACAGAGAGAGTTCCAGGAAAACTAGGGCTACACAGAAAAACTGTCTTGAAACCAAAAGAAAAAGTCATTTAGAAATTTTTTTTACATAAACATAATTACCAATTAACTAGTAGGTATGTTAAAAAAATAATTTGCTATGTAAGGGACACAGAAAATATTACAATAGGAAGCAATAAATTTTCTGCTTCAACCAGACACAGAAAAACCTGAAAGAGAAGTCAGCGCTCTTAGTTACAGAGCCATCTCTCTGAGACACCAATTTCTTCTCTTTTTCTTTTCATATTTTTTATTTGTGTATGCACATAATTGTACAGGTACCTGGAGAGGATCAGAAGGTGTTCAGAAACTATGGAATTAAAGTTAAAGTTAGTTGAAAATCACCCAATACACATGCTTGATTCCAAAGAAAGCCCCCGAGGAGAGGTGCAAATGCCGTTAATCACTGAATCATCTCTCCATGCTTCAAACAGTTTCTTCAAAGGCTAGCTATTGTTGGATACAATTTCTTAGAAATCTGTCTTCCCAGTGACAGCAATGGCAGACCAGAAAATTATGCCAATATTATTAACTTAACTCCAAGATTAAAAACAAAAAGGCAAAAATACAAGTTTTGTATAGGAATGGACCAAAGATCAAAATGTTAAAATTTTTATTGTACTTTCTTCGGATTATTTGTAAAATATTCTACACAAACATAAATTCTCTTTATAAGATTTAAAAACATGAAAGTGTTTTATAAGCTTTATTTCAACTGAAAATCATAGTTTTTTTAATTTTTTCAGTAAAATTTTCATTTAGTTAGAACAGGTTCACCTTAAAATTTCCAAATGGTAGTCAAATGTCCTGTATTGGATACTTTATTTTGCTAGCCTCCTATCCTAGCTGTAATAAGCAGGCATTAAAATATGTATCAGAGCAGGATTTTATCCTGAATACGTTTACATACTAGGGCTAAAATTACACTATTTCTGGTCACATCTGCTTCTTTCCACGTCAAAATTTTTTCATTTTTTTCTTACTTTAGCACTATATTTATTTACCTAATTTGTGTATGCACACACACAAGTGGACTTCAGAAGTTGACTTCAGAAGTCAACTTTTGTGAAATGACTCTCTATTTCTACCATCTGACTTCCACAGTTAAAACTGAGACCATCAGGCTACCCAGAAGATCCTTTACTAACTGAGCCATCTCAGGGTCATCTAAACTCATAAGTTGGAAACCCAGAGCATCACACTATTTATAGCTGAACAAATTTCTCACTATGAACCCGTACGTGGCTTTGTGATGGTTTGTGGAACACAACCACAGATTACTCACACGGACAAGGTTTCCATAGTGTGAATTCTTTCATGCTTGAGGAAATTACCACAGTAAGTGAATTCTTTTCCACAGTGTTTACATACATAAAGTTTCTCTTGCATAGAATGAATTTTTTTATGAGTGTAATAGGAACTCTGACTGTTGAAGGTTTTCCTACAAAGGTCACATGCAAAATGCTTCTCTGCAGTGTGAGTTTTTTCATGACTGTTACGGGTACTGGATGTGGTAAAAGTTTTTGTGCAATGCTTACATGTATAAGGCTTCTCTCCAGTGTGAATTCTTTCATGACTGTTACGAGCACTCGAAGTAGTGAAAGCTTTTCCACAATGTTTGCATGCATAAGGCTTCTCTCCAGTGTGAATTCTTTCATGCTTTATTAGGTCACCAGAAAGAATGAATACTTTTCCACATTTTTTACATAGAAAGGATCTCTCACCAGTGTGAATTCTTTCATGGCTATTTCTGTCACTGGAAGTGGCAAAGGCTTTTCCACAATACTTACATGCATAAGGCTTCTCTCCAGTGTGTATCCTTCTATGATTGATAAGATAATCAGAACGACTGAATGCTTTACCACATGTTTTACAAACAAAGGGTTTCTCTCCAGTGTGTATTCTTTCATGGCTATTACGGTCACTGGAACTGGTGAAGGCTTTCCCACAATGTTTACATGCATAAGGCTTCTCTCCAGTGTGAATTCTTTCATGATTCATAAAATGACCCAAACGTTTGAAGGCTTTCCCACATTTTTTACATACAAAGGGATTCTCTCCAGTGTGGATACTTTCACAACTATTATAGTCATTGGGACTAGTGAAAGTTTTCCCACAATGCTTACATGAATACGGTTTCTCTCCACAGTGAATTCTTTCAGGAACATCATCAGCACTGGAAATAGTGAAGACTTTTTCACAATGTTTGCATTCATAAGAATTTTCTCCAGTGTGACTTCTTTGGTGCATGAGAAGGTATTTCAACTGGATAAATCCTTTCCCACACTGCTCACACGCATAAGGTCTCTCTCCACTGTGAATTCTTTCGTGTTTTTGAAAGCATGACAAATATCTAAATGTTTTTCCACACTGTTTGCAAATATAACACTTTTCTACAATATGAATTCGTTCATGGCTGATAAGGTGACTGGAATTAACAAACGCTTCTCCACATTGCTTACATACAAATGGCTTTACTTCACTCTGGACACTTTCGTCTGTCTGGCCATGTGTGTAGTTTGTAACGGCATCGTCATCATGCCTGTTTCCAATGTCAGTCTTCTCCTGATGCTGATCACAATGGAGACTCCCGCAAGCTGTATTACATTGCTGACTTTCAGAAGATATTTTTTTAGAACATTCATGTTCCTGAAATGACTCAGATTGACCCATATCTTCCCAACATTTTTCATGTTTAAAAGCCTTCTCCACAGATTCCTTATACTCAAATAGTTTATCTTCAGTTTGATCACTGAGGTGCACATCTGAGGGCAAATTACCAATGGCGTTTCTTATACACAAACTGCTACTGCTTTCATATAATGTTATAGAAGGAGGCATGTCCTCATTAACCATAGGCTCTGGAATCTGTTGCTGGGTTTTTGCACACTGACTGTCATGTCCATATTCACCACCTTTCTCAACCAGAGTTCTGAAAAAAAAAAAAAGAAGAGGATTATTGCAACTGGAAATAGTGAAGGCCTTTTCATAATGTTTACGTTATTAAGATTTCTTTCCAGCATGAACTCTTTAGTGTGTGAGAAGGTATTTTCCAATAAATGAATCCTTTGGTGACTAAGAACGTATTGGTGCTGGTATACTTTTGTTTAGGCAAAGAAAGTGTTGGTGACTGATTCCAGTGGTCCACTATAGTTATAGTACTCCAGAGGAAAGAGCAAACAGACTCAAAATTTAAGACCAATAAGGGCCACATATAAAGATCCTGTGATGAGAAAATAAATAGATTGTTAACTTTATTTTCATAAGAATTATAAAGAATCTGGAGAGATACCTCAGATGTTAAAAGCACCTGTTCCTCTTCCAGGAAACCGAAGACCTATGGGTGGGTTCACAGTGGCTTAAGCCTCAAGGGGCCTATAGCCTTCTTCTGACTCTATAAATCCTTCTCACACGTGTGGCATGAACTCACATGAAACAACACACACACATTAAAAAAGACTTATGAACATAAAAGAAGCTTTTCAGTCAAATTTCTGATGTTAGCACAAAAGAATAACAATCACATGACATGAGGAATATGCCTTCACTTAGGCATTTGAAATACATAACGTGCTGGTTAGACTTATTAACATGACACACGACAGGGACATCTGAGAAGACGGAACCTCAGTTGAGAAAACGGCTGTCAGATGGGCTTGAGGGTAATCCTAACGGGTTGCTTTCTTGATTAATGAGTTACATGGGAGGGCCTAGCTTACTGTGATTGGTGCCTCCCCTGGGAAAGTGCGCCTGAGTTGAATTAAAAAGGTAGCAAGCAAGCCAGTAAGCACTGCTCCTGCATGGTTTCTGCTTCCAGGTACCTGTGCAGCTTAAGCTTCTGGCCTGGCTTCTCTTGATGATAGACATTGACACAAAGTGTAAGCCACAATAAACCCTTTCCTGCCCAAGTTGCTTTTGGTCATGATATTTATCACAGGCCTAGACAATAAACTAAAGGAGAAATTGGGACCCGGTCCATGGGGTATTGCTGTTACAGACCTGACCCTACTGTTTTTGGTAGGGCCATGATAGTGCTTAGAACTTTCAACTGGAAAAGCCAGAGAGTGCTCAAAGTTTAATGATCGGTTTTGGCAGACTGGAATGTAAGAATGGCAAGAGCAATGGAAAAGTGAAAGCCTGGCCTTGTCAAGCTTCTGAAGGATGTCTGAGAGTGACCTACCTGGCTGCAACTTATGCCATACCCTTGATCACCATGGCTGATGTGGATGGCGAAGGAGTGTCCCCTTCCACCCTCACAGCTCCAAGTGAATCGATCCCTCTTGCAGCTGTGTGTTTTGTAAAGGAGGAGAACCTTCCCTGAGTAGAGGAACGGCAGCTGTGATTCCACTCTAGAATAGTCAAGCAAACTCTCAAAGGGGCGCTTAAGAGTACCCTGGAGACTCGATGGAGTGGTTCATGCAATCGTTTATATTAACAATCTGTGCTTTCTGGTCAGCTGGAGCTGAAGAATCAGCTATAATAACAAGTATTGAGGCTACATCTTCAGAGATTTCGGTCAGCACAAATACCACAGGGGCCCAAGGCTGCACTTCAAACTGTAAGCAAACCATGGCAATGTGTAAGATTCTGTCAGGTGGTATTGACATTAGCAGCATGAGAAGCACAGGAATGAAGGGGTCATGGAGAGAAGCTGAGACAGGGTTTAGTGAAAGGCCAGGCTCTCCTGTCACTGCAGAAGGTGACAGTGGAAACACCAAGAACGAAGGGTTTATTGAGAACAGATGAGATTGTGCACCAAATGTCAAGGCTGGAGCTCCTGGAGAGAAATCAGAAAGTGAAGGGGAAGCTGCGACCTGTATGGATCCTAGCAGATGAGAGATGCCAACACCATGGATGACTGCCAAGGACAGAAGCTGTTGCGGACTTGAGGTACTGAGTCTAGGAGTCAAGTGATATGTGTTGTTGATAGCGAACACAAAAGTTGTGTTCCCTAAGCCCTTTGGAGACTAGACTATCATGACCACATGAAGGACACTGAGCTACAGAATGTGATTAACATTGTTGAATTTGGAGTTTCCTTTGAGCTAATGGGACCTGTGCTCTGCTTCTTTCCTTTTGAAATAAGAAGTGTCTGTCATGTACTTGATTTTACAGGAGCCCACAGAGGAGACATTTTGGATTTAAGAGACACTAAATATTTAAAGTGTATAATTATTTTTTAAGACTGTGGGATTCCTACAGTTATGCTCTGATTTATATTGTGATAATAACATGATATCATGGGGACAAACAGGAAAGGAAAAGTTATAGTGTAATAGTAGTGAATCTGTATGTCAAGATCACAAGGAGTCAATTGTGCTGGTCAGGGTTTTGTCCACTTGACACAAGTCACAGCCATCTCCATCTGAGGAGAGCCTCAATTGGAAAACTGGTTCCATCAGATTTGCCTGCCAGCAATCTGTGGGGGTATTTTCTTGATTAATAATTGATGTGTGAATTACAAAAACAACAAAACAAAACAAAACAAAAATGATGTGTGAGGACCCAGTCTGCTGTGGGCACCACCCATTATTATCATATGGGCCTGAGTTCTATGAGAAATGAAGCTGAGGAAGTGTTGAGGAGCAACCCAGTAAGCAGTGTTCTTCTATAATCCCTGATTCTGTCCTAGTCTTCAGCTTCCTGACCAGCATGAGTTCCTGCCTTATTTTCCATGATGAGAGCCTGTGATATGGAAGTCACAACAGGCACCAAAATAAGTCCTTTGTGTAAAGTTGTCTTTTGTCCTGGTCTTTATCTCAGCAATAAAAAAGCAAATTAAAAATAGTTCTTCTGAGGCTAATGAGGTAACTCAGAAGTTTAGAGGACTGAGGCTTTTCTAGAGAGACCATGCTTGATTCTCAGCACCACGGGTGGCTCACAACTGTCTGTAACTGCAACCCCAGGGGATGGGGATCTTATACCCTCTTTTTCTTTTTCTTTCTTTCTTTTTTTAAATATCCAACTAAAAGGATTTATTCCAGTCAGCTGAGACTACACTCAGTTATTTGGGACCTAACTGTAGCCCCAAGTATTTAGACCAAATACCATATACTGTAATCTTGCTCAACAGTGCAGGGGAAGCTTTTGTCCCAGCAGGCAGTTTAACAGTAGCCAAGATAAGCAGTAGCTGGAGGGGGAGGTCTTATACCCTCTTATGCCCTTCGAAAGGGTCAAAATGTATTGATGTACTACTTAATGTGGAACACAGAATATACATGAAACAAAGCATGCATTAAAAAACCAAATAATTCTAAGAACCAAGATAATAACAACAAACATCCCTTATACATAAAACCCTCAGAAAACATCATAAAAATATATCAAATACTTCTGAGTATGAGGCAAGTTTTTATGTAATGAACCACTGAAAAATCTCTTACATAGTTAAATGTTGCAGCACATTTTGGTGACATTCAGAAATTACAGAGATGGGATATTCAAATTCTGAATGATCACATCCAATTGCAGTTTTATAAATATCTACGTTAGAATTAATTTATACTTAGGTATATTTGGATAATATACTAGGTTCTCAGTTGTCTTATCATCAACAAATGTTTGATGTAAAGTCCTCTCTCTTGAGTATAAATTACCCTAGATTTCTCCTGAGACTCTGGTAGTCCTCATCAACATTTTCTTCATGTGTTTTCTCTAGAAGTAAAAACAAAGAAATCATGACTTAGTCAATATTATAAAAATTTATTACATTCTAAATTTTATGATGTGACCAGGCACATTAAATTCACTACATGTTCCCTTTCAATATTTCAAACCACAAACCACTATACACATAAACAGGAAACAGTTGTCTGAAAAAGCTAAGGAATCATAGTGTGTGTTTTACCTATGGAGATCAGGTTCATAAAGTTTTCCTTCATCACATCTCTGTAGAGCTTCCTTTGACTAGAATCCAATAAAGTCCACTCGCCTGAGGTGAAGTTCACAGCCACATCCTCAAAGGTCACAGGCTCCTAAAACAGTGCACATATTAGGGTGGGTGGTTTTACCTGACAGGTTGACAGGATGCAGAGCCATCTAGCACATGTGCTTCGCAAGACACTTCTAAGTGGTTATGCAGATAAAGGTTAACATGAGGAATTATAGGGATTACATGAATTAATGTGAGAAAACCCACTCATGGTGCATGAAAGCAGTCTCTGAACTGTATTTAGGATTATATTAGAGGAAGAAGGGAATTGAGGAATATATAGCCACACATTCTTGATTGTGGTTATGATTTTGTAGACAGAAGTTTCTATATCTTGGTCCTGCAGTGTTAAGTCCCAAAGAAACACACAGAGGCTTATATTAATTATAAACTGCTTGGCTTATTAGCTCAGGCTCATTATTACCTAGATCATACAACTCAAATTAACCATAATTCTTGTCTATGTTAAGCATGTGGCGTGGCACCTTCTCTCAGTGAGAAATTCTCATCTTGCTTCCTCTGTGACTGGCTAGTGATTGGCTCTCTGCTTTTCCGCTCTCCGCTTTTCCTCTTCCCAGAATTCTCTTAGTCTGGTTGCCCCGCCTATATTTCCTTCCGGGCTACTGGCCAATCAGCATTTTATTAAACCAAATGAGTGACAAATCTTTACAGTATACAAAAGGATTATCCCACAGCATGATTTGACCATCTGTTTCACACTCTTGCTTTAAAGTTATCACGATTTACTGAACCCTTCAACAATGAGAAGAAATAAACTTTTTCTGCCTTAATTCATTTTTGTCAGATAGTTTATCACAGCAATAGGAAAACCCTAATATAAGAACAGACACAAAGAAGTGGGGCCATTGTTGAAAATAAGCCTGATCAGGTTCTCTGGGCATTTTGAACATGTGCGTGTGTGTGTTGGAAAAATAGTTTTTTCTTAAGGCAAAGAGAAAGAAAGTGAGCAAGAGAGAAAGAGATCAGCATACCAGAAAAAGCAAATCTGAGCAGATCATTTTGGTAGATGCTATATATACAAAAATGATGAAAGAAATCCTTACAGAAGAGGCACAGAGCAGGAAGGCTCAGAGTAGAGCAAGGATTTAGTTTCAAACTAAGATGGAGGCCATTATTTGCTATTTTGTTCAAGAACTTAGCTTCATTCTGCCCTGGTACCAGGAACGTAAAGGAACTTATGTTTAAAAACAATGAAGTCCTTCAGTAAGTGAAAAGAGTATGAGCAAGCTTAAAATTTTTAAGACATGAGGTGATGAGAAAGCAGCTATAATTCATATGAAATTAATTCTAGGCCCTGGAAGAATAGTGAGACAGAACAAGAGAAACAACCTGAGACATTACTTGGGTTTTGCACCCAACGCCCCGTGAGTATTTTTGAACAATCATCTGTATGTAACCTTGGACCACATCTGCTATCAGCTTTCAGGTTTTAAAACAACGGCAATATGTTAACCCCTCAGACACCTTATTAATCACTTATATCTATACAATTGCATTGAAACAGATCTGGTAACAATGGAAAACGGCCTGAAAATTATAATGTGCCACTTTGGGGCTCATGTACCTTAGTCACACTGTGTTTTCAAAATTAGCATCTCGGGAAAGTCTTTTTTACCACTTTGCCTCTGAAAAAGGCATATGATTAAAAGTAGATGCATGATGGGAAAGGGCATGTGCTTGAGCAAGGCTTTCCAAATGTCCCCCTTTCAGTCAAAATGCAGAACCCTCTGTGCATGCTTAGCCACCAAATCTTCCTTTCAAAGCCCCAAGCAATAATTGGTGACCCAACCCTGTTCACACCCACAGTTTGGATATTTTAGGAAGGTTATTGAAGAGAGGGAGCGAGAAAGACCTTGAACTAAAATTACCAAAACCAGGAGCAGCAACGCAGGTCATTTTCAATGCGCTGTGCTCTGATATTGTAGGATGGAACTTGCCGACATATCTGCTGATCCTATACTTGCAACTCATGCACTTTCTGACCCTCTCTAATGTTCCTTTCCCTTCTCTCACTGTATACATTGGCGATGATTCTGTGAGCTAACACTTCTCAATAGGGAGTAATGCCTTGTTATGTGAAAAACTGATGAGCATGGAAAAAACTCAGTCGTCTGTTAAGTTTTAAGCTTTGCTTAAGCCAAGCACTGAGATGCATACCTACGATCTTGATAGTCATGAGACTAAAGGAAGGGGATTGTTAGTTTGAGGCCAGCCTGGGCTACAAAATTTTGTCTAAAAATGAATTATCGAAAAGGAGAGCAAAAAAGAAAGACTGACTCCAATAAATAAATAAATAAATAAATAAATAAATAAAACATGAAGACATCCTTCTTTTTTTTCTTATTTTCCCAAGAACTTTAGGTGCATCATTAATTTACCAATTTGTGAGGTATCAATTTTTTTAATGTCATCACAAAACAACTGCATATAAAGTCACAGATTAATTCAAATTCAGTAATACTCAGTGACTTTAACACCCAACTCACCAGTCAAGTAATGAACTAGACAAGAAATAAACAGAGAAAATCTGTAATTAAATGACACAATGAGGTTAGCTACAGTGGGGTATGCCTTTAATTGCAGCACTCAGAAGCCAGATGCGGGTAGATCTTCATGAATTTCAGGTCACCCTGGTCTACAGAGCAAGTTCCAGGCCAGCTGCAGCTACATAATTAAGTCTCAAAAGAAAAATAAACAAACAAGCAAACAAAATGAATAACATCATAAAACAGATTGACCAGCTAAATACACAAAGGATATTCCACTCAAACACAAGAGAATACACACTTCTAAGCATCTAATAGAAAGTCTCTAAATGAGGTTACAAAGCAAGTTTCAACAAATAGAGGAAGCCTAAAACGATGTCTTGTATTCTATCTCATCACAATGCAATAGGACTGAAAGCCAATAGCAACAGAAATTACAGAAAATCTACAAACTCATAGAGATTAATAAAGGAGATCAAGTATTTCTTTAAATTAAATAAAAATAAATGCATGATGTGAGAAAACAGATAAAATGCAATAAAGACAGTATGAAAAGGTTCATTTATAACTCATTTTGCTATCTTAAAAAAGTCATATAAGAGAGGTGGTGGCGCACACCTTTAATCTCAGCACTGGGGAGGCAGAGGTCAGAATGGTCTACAAAGTTGAGTTCCAGGGCAGGTGCAGGCAGAGAAACCATGTCTTGGAAAATTCAAAGCAAATCAAAAAGAAAAAAAAAAGACAATAACAACAACAACAACATTACACAAGAGGGATTCCCTCCCTCCCCTCTACTTTTAAAATTGTGTAGCAGGGCTGAGAATGTGGCTCACTTGGTAGTGTTTGCTTAATATGGAGAGACTCTCTCCTTCTGTTTCCTCCCCTGCACCACGCTAAACCAAGTGTGGTGACTCATTCCTGGCAACCCCAAAACTTGGGAGATGAACGGAGGGTCACAACTTCAAGGTCATCGACAGCTACTATGGTACGCCAGGACAGAAAAACCGAAAAATTAAAAAAAAAATTAAAAAAAAATAAACTCGCAGTACAGGCCCCTTCTGTTTGGAGAAGTAGCCTCGAGCAAAATCAATACAACACTAAAGAGATTACAGAAAACGATAAAAACAGGTCGGAAACCAGTGTGCCAGGGCAGACAGGCAGCAACGCTCACCACCCGCGCCCCTTCCCTGCACAGTCCGAACTCCGCGTCTCCAGCCTTGCAGGCTGCAACGTCTGTGGAGGCGAAGGTTCATCGCGGATTCCCCACGATAGGCTGGGGACTGGGATGAAGCAGTTTCACAGCAGCCACAGGACAGGAGGGGACTCTCGACTGCCTGCTGCCGGCTCCGCCTGTGCCAGACTCCACCCCAGAGTCTGCAGCACAGCGCCAGGGACCGTCCAGTCGGCGGCGCCAGGCTGCACCAACGACTCCAGGAGCCACCGCGCACTCACCATGTCCCGCTCCGGACGCAGGCCGAGGTCGTCTATGAGGGGCCTGCCGACAGAATAGGTGACACCGACAGAAATCAGCTGTCACACACCTCACAAAAGCTACACGGGATTCAAAAATGGAGCCAGGGGCGGAAACCGCGGAACATTCTTGTTCCTCATTCGAAATTTCCAGCAAGGAAGTAACAGCGTCCCTGATTGGCGAAAGCTGCTGGACCCGCC